GAGAGAGAGAGGGAGGAAGGACCCTCCTATCAAACGAAAAACAATGCAGCCCCTCCTTGTCAAGGTAAAGGCCCCCATGCAGGGCACCCGCAGTCACTGTCCCAAGAGTGCACAAGGCCCAAGAGTGTCACAAGGGGTCTCTCTAAACAAGACAGCCACCACAGATGGCCCAAGATTCCCTCGGAATCTTCCACCGAAAATGAGTTTCAAACATTTGTCAGTGTTTTGGTCTAGAGAGACAACCGCAAGGAACCAACTTCTACTCGAAATCTGATTTGCTTCTCACTATCAGAAAATAAGATTTTGAATTCTATGAAACTAAAGATTTCTGTAACTGAAAAGCACCCATAATTCTTATGCACATATTATAAGTCCAGTTGAAGATCTTGGTAGTTATTTCCTTCCATCATAAATGTTCTTGTAAATATTTTGCATATACTTGTCCTCTTCAACCCTAGAATTATTTCCTTTAGTTATTAAGATGACAATAGTTGAAATTTAATGCTGGATTAGAGTGTGCCATGAGTTTTTCAGCATTGATATATGCCTCTATAAGATTGTAGAACATACATCAAAAAAAGAGTCTTCTAAAATGACTAGTGTGATGATTTGTTGAGCAAAATAACGCACCAACAAATTCTAGGAAGTGGGAGAGCTAGGAATTCTAGATAATTTTTTTCCCTTGATCTATGGATTACCCAGTGGAGTCACCAGTTGGTCGGCCTTGGATTTATTTAAAAACCTTAAAACCGTGATTCTTCTTTTTGGAAAAAGAGAAATGTGTGCCGCGCCCCCTTTGGTGCATGCGCATGTGAACACACAGCATATAGACTGAAACTTCCTGCGAGGTTTAGGCTCCATCCAGTGTTTCATGCCAGTTGCCTTAAGCCCTATCATCCAGATCCAAGTGATGAATCGAGGAATACTTAAACAAGGGCACCGCCGAACATGACCACTTAATTTGAGAAAGAGGTGGCCGAAAGAGTAGTCGTCGAGGTGCGAAGCCCTTCTTAGCGCTAAGGTAAGGCTACCAGAGAGTAAGGCTAGCTGGGAGCGGGACGCGACTCTTTGGCAATTCGAAGACAAAGTCCCGATGTGTGTGCCCACTAGGATAAGGGTGGGCGGTGCGGTAAGCGGTTCGAACCAACAAAAGAAAGGAACGAGGTAAGGCTTGCCTCGAGAAGAATGCACCCGGGCAAGTTGCCCTCTTAGATGCCGGCGCTCTGACACGCCTGCGAAAAGCCCCCCGGTCGTTAGTCGACGCAGCTTGGACTCAACCCCTTCGCAATCCTTGGCCCAGTGCTCCCTTGGGAGCTATGTACATACGTATGGTCCAAGTCATATAGACCCTTAGGCTTGTCTCTTCAGTTTGGAAAAGTCCGGATGTAGGCTTGGTTGGGTGTGAGGTAGGATAAACTAAGCTAGGTTTGAACTAGGCTTGGTGTGGTTCGGGGTTTGGGTCAGGTTGGCTCACAATGGGTTAGGTGGGCATGGCTAGTGTGGGTTAGACGAGGCTAGTCTGGGTTGGTCTAGACAAGGTTAGACGAGGTTAGGCTAGGTTGGTCTAGACTAGGTTAAGGCTAGACTACGCTAGGTTGGGCTAGGTTGGTCTAGGTTAAACGAGATTGGGCTATGTTGGTCTAGATTTGGTTAGGCTAGGTTGGGCTAGGTTGGTCTAGACTAGGATAGGCTAGGTTGGGCTAGGTTGGTCTAGGTTGGTCTAGACTAGGTTTGGCTAGGTTAGGCTAGGTTGGGCTAGGTTGGTCTAGACTAGGTTAGGCCAGGCTAGGTTAGGTAGGCTAGGCTAGTCATGCTAGGTGTGCTAGGCTAGGTAGGATAGGTATATTAAGGGGTGAGATGACCACTCAAAAAATGCTATGGCCCTTCAGCATCACCTCCCCTAAGAGGCAATACCGGCTACATGGGGAAAAGGTACTAGGCACACGGCTTAAGTACCCCAAAGACTTTTGATTAATAAATGGCCAACCCATTTTAGGAAAACTAGACCTAGAAAGGCCCGTTTGGCATGAAACTTGCTAGTCATGGGTTTTTCGGCCTTCTGAAGCCATTTGTGGTGGTCTGGAGACTATATGATATCACCTTCAGGAAGTTTTGCTATGGTGCACCTTGAATGCGCTCTATACTCCAAACTGTATCTTCTTCTTGTCTCTTCGCCCCTTCACCTGCTCGGGGCGAAACTTAGGGAAGGACTTTGGGATGTCAAAGGCCACTCTTGTACACCTTTTGAGGACGAGATGATGCCCTTGCAGTGGCTCTTCAAAATTGAGCGTATTCCGTGCAAGCTTCCGTAGTCCCTAAGCATATCTCGCGCTTGTGGGCTATGGTTGCAGCTGCGTCCTCTTTTATTCGCATAAGATGCATCAAGAATACGCGCCAACAATGAGTTTTATACATGATTCTTAGAGTTTACTTTCCATCCTTTCTTTTTGTTTACAGGGATGATATACCTTCATTTCAAGTGTTTCACTATCCATGATGCCAAAACACCCACACACATTCTGATATTTAAGACATAAATAAACAGTAAAACCATGGAACGCTGATCATATATGAGTAACCATATCCTGGCATTAGAAATCATACTTTGAAGCATGTTGTTGGGAAGTTCCTGAAAATGTTATAGATGGAACACAAGTGAAACCTCTTGCATTAGAAGCTAAATATATACTTTGAAACCCGAAAAAATGGTAGACTGGCAAAGGTTTAGTGATTGGTGACTGTGGCTCTCAAAAATTCAATATCTCTGGCTGGAACATCGCTTACCCCATGCATAAATTTTGGTGTTGCTTAGAATATTTGCATTTCCAAGATCATTCGACAGTTCAACCAGTTGGAAGTTGGAACAATCTCAAAAGAATGGTTCCAGCAAGCACCCTAGCTAACTAATAACATTCTAATAAACTACTAACAGAGAAAGAAGCTGTCAAGAAAATAAACTATCATATAAACTATCAAGAAAA